GAAATTTTATTTGGCGCCCTATATGTCAATGCTGGCTTGGTAGCTGGTGCTGGCAAACTGGCTTGCTCATATGTAAGTGCTTTTCTGGCCGCAGGTGCTGGCAAACGGGCTTGCTCATATGTAAGTGCTTTTCTGGCAGCAGGTGCTGCAATTCTAGGCTGCACATAAGTCAAAGCCTCCAGTTGGTGAGACGCCGGCAATTGTGGCTGCGCATATGTGATTGCTTTTCGACTTGCACTGCTGGGCAACTGCGGCTGCTCGTGCGTTAAAGACGGTACTGCGGCTGCGGGAGCTAATGCATACGAAGATGATAAATCATCATCGCTGTCCGGCCATTCTACATTTGGTACAGACGTGTTGTCAGCCAAAGCCAATGTAGGCGAAGGACTGCGTATTTCCCAGTACGGATTGCCAGCTGGAAGCAATGGAGGATTCTGATACACCAGCTGCGGATTTTGATTGCCGTATGTGATGGCAGGCAATGCAGGTCCTTTGGTAATCGTAGACACATTTGGATGACGCATTGTACTGGCTGCATTTCTCGCACGGTTCTGCTTAGATATCCGCTTATTTTTAGGTTGAGGTTTATAAACATGCCGCACAACAGACTTGCCCGGTGCACTGATATACTGCGGGACTGGAACAGGATAATAAACAGGATCCTTTTCGATGTAATGAACTGTTGGCTGTATAGGGTCCGATTGTGTTTGACTGTCTGCCATGAAAGGTTTGGGCGCAGCAACATATTCAAATAGCGGTGCGGTATCCACTTGTGCTGCGTGATCATAAGTAACACGTGAACTAGCTGGCACAGGCGGAATATCTGCATGGTTTGGGGTTTGTACAAATGTCTGCGGCATTGGATTTGATGAATCAACAAGTTTGTGTTCGGCACTGGTCTTTGGACCTTGTGTTAAATGCCTCTCAATCTCACTGCTAATTTGATAGGCCTTTGTCCATGGTGTTGGACACGGTTTCATCACCGTATTGTATTCGCTCTCCGGTAACGAGCACGAATGTCTTCATTTTGCTATGAATGTAGATAATAGCGTTCCTAAAATTGGCAATAAAGCACCGAGAAATCCACCTCTTTGCTGTAAAATCTCCTGTTTTCGTTTTCGCGGCGTATCACGGCTGGCCAGTCGCTTAATGCTTGCTGCATACTTTCTCGCTTGCTGGAGTTGTGATTTGCTTAGACCACTTGGATTCTTCAACAGATTCAAACATGCCTCTTCCATGGCATTGACTTGTTTCTTTGTGCAATGTGCAAAAAGGCCTCTACGCTGAATGGGTGACATAGCTTGCAGCGCTCGCACTATGTCAAAGATTTCACTCGGATTCATTCTGTATAAATGCGTCGATGAGCAAAAATATGTGATTGAAGTCGCAAGTTGTCCGGAGTTTCAAGTCGTAAATTTACAATCAAATAGCCGTACTGTTTCTTAATGGCCTTTTTGTACGCATTTTCCAAATGTTTCATTCCTAGTTGTCGACTCAGCACACGAATTTGCTGGATGTCTCTCACACTTTTGAACAAAATCAAGTACTGGGCATTCAAAGCAATGTCGCGCATGCTTTTCCCTTGTTTGAACAAGTTCTGCGATATAAATACAGCAGTGACATTCTTATGGTGCACATCTCGCGTGAAAAGTGTTGAGGCTTTTACATTGTTGGCTAATTCTTCCATTAGATCGTCAAGTATTAGTAACGTTGGGACATTTGGGTTGAAAAATCCATCATCGAACAGTTTGTTATAGTCAGAGACTAATTCAATTGACGAAGGAAATTCTTTGAACGAATTCTGCCAAGTTCCGTACGCGTATACTATACGTTTCGGACACGGGTAAAAGTGTGCATGCGGTGCTTTAAGTAACTCCATTATCAAAGTGGATTTACCAGACATTGTTGGGCCGCACACATACACCGAGCATGGTGTTTTGAAGCGAAAATCAAAATTTACACGTTCCATTTCCCAAAAACAGTATTTTGATGGTTGCATGTGATTCAGATTTGTAGAATGGCTTAATGAGCAAATTCCCAAAACAGCAGTAGATTCAACCTGGCCGCAGACAAGTTAAAACTACCACCGATTTGGAGCATTCAGCTCTCTTTTTTTTAACATTTTTTCAGAATAAAAACGGTAGTTTTTCGTATTAGAAAATTGTGTTCAATAAACTACCAAAATTGCAATCGGAAAAGTGCAAGGAAAGTCACATTATTACATGCAAAGTCTATGGAAAAAACAAATCGAAAAACTACAAGTTTGCGACATAAAAAGTACGCAAAAATATGAACAGTGCACATCGAATCCGTACATTTAGAAGATGTCTTCTGGCCAAGTAAAGGCATCACTTGATCTGTTTGGACAATGTGCAACTAATTTCTCGCACTGTGTTAGAGTGAATACGGGTTCTTCCAACTTCTCCTCGTGCTCCATGGCGACTTTGCCAGTTTCTTTGGAATCCTTTCCCCACTGCGCAACCAATTTATCGCACTGTGTCAGCGTAAGGGCTGGCTCCTCTTTTCCGCACTTCTCAATTGCATGCAGCCATTCTTCCATGTCGTTGCACTTCTCCTGCTGTACTGTTTGGCTTACATCAATCTTTTGGGGAATGGTTCGTTTTCGCTTTCGGGGTGTGGTCTGTGTGCCTTGACTAACTGTTGTGCGGCCCTCTGATTCACGCATCATCTCTGCTTCCAAGACTCGCACGAATTCATCAATGTCAGAATTGATGGATTTGCGCTTCTTGCGCACGGCACTTACATCGAAGTCAGGAGACGGCGGTGGATTGGATGGCAGTGTGGCTCGAAGACGGTCAATGCAAATATCCACTGCTTTCACACTCTTGGCGCCTAGGATCGTACATTTTCCGGAACCAAAACTTTCACGGTTATACCCAAATCGGCGTATCGCATTTTGCCGCGTCAAACAACTCCGGTTCATAATACAACTTCTGTGCTTTCGCGAACTTATACAAGTTGATCGGATGCTGATGGTCGTACGTAGCCATAATATTCGCAGTGCGCTTGCTAACGACATTGGCAGTATAGCCAAGATGTGTTAAACGGAACCGGTATCGCTTCAACAATGTGCGTACTTCTTTCTCTGAAGTGCCGCCATTGATGATTGCTTTGCCTGAACTGAAAACTTGACAATAGCTACCATCATAGGATGTCAGATTAAGCGCCTTAAAATCCTTCACAGATGTACACTTGGTGGACGATGCAATTTTCTGCAGATCAAACTTGCAGTCAAAGACAACAACGGTTATGAAGTGGTGAATCATTTTTATGCAAAGCAGGAAAACCGACAATGGACTAAAACTGATGTCTGATGCCCTGCTTCATGGTCATTTTATACGTTTTACCCGATCGTTCCTACCACTGAACGATAGTTGGAATTTCCGTTCGCAGTTAACCAATCCAAAAGCAGACTACGCCTATTTGAGAATTCCGGAATTTTCCCGTTTTCAGAGTGCTACCCAAAACCACGTTACTTTCAGCCTGGCCGTAGACAAGCTAAAAATAACGCAGATTTGGGGCAACGCCCTTTTTTTTTTTTCTAATTTAATTCAGCAGCACATGAACTATTTAAGCTTTAGGAACGAGTTGAGTGAGTAACTTGCACACACTTCGGAAATTCCGGTAGCCCAGCATGATTGAGGCCCCTTCAAGGGAGATGGAAATCGTGCGTCCAAAAGCGGTATGGTAAGCCAACTTGATGTCGATGACAGCATCGTCAGCATCCTTAACATGTGTATACTTCGGGGGATTGTCCAATGCATGCTGCATCCAAACCATGTCGGATTTTTCCTTCTTTCAGCAATAGGAGAAGATTGTTGATAGCGGGTAAGTCCAGTATGATGCCCTTCTGTCTGGCAGTCATGAGTCCATCAGAGGCAGGGCTGCGGGCCAGAAGGACAGTGTTGCCGATAGTATCGTACCACAGTGAAGATTTGCTGGTGATCTCGTAACACTTGACGTTTCCGTCCTGAAACTGATACTTGAGCTCGGGGAAATCCATTGTAAACGGAGAATTCAGTATTGTTAACTGCTAGCAGTGCAAAAATGAAGCAAGTGTGAACTTTCATCGACTAAAATACCGTGCAAGATAATGCTTAACATGCATCCGTCATATTTACTTCTGCTTATAGGAATAGCATAATTAAGGATATGGAGGACAGATATCTACTCCACCAACAGCCACAACTACTGCATCATCCGGCAGATTGTCCAGTTCCATATCGGAATTAGTGTGCGATCCATCAGAATGATCTTCTGCATCGGTATCACACCCACAACGGAATATCAACGCTTTTCGATTCCATTGAGTTTTAGCCCATACACTCAACTGTTCATCGACGTCCAACACATTTCTGATAAACTTTTTACTGGCAAGATAGTTCAAGTGCTCGCATGACCAGCTGTATCTAGCGTGGTGTACGTTAATATCTTCGAACAAGCCTTCAAGTCCTACGCCACATGTGAAACAATGCAGGCGGCCTTCACCAATATGGTAGAAGCCGGCGTCAGCCATGTAATAGATGTCCAAACCAGGAAAATGGTTAAGATTCCCGAAGAAAGTTTCAATGCGCTTATTCACATCGGCCATGTTCGAGTTATAAATCACCACGTCGTCCTGATAGTCACGACGAACGTGAGTAAACGTAGGCTTAAGATCCTCAGGGACAACCATTTTAGCAGAATGTGTGGAGAAAAAAAACATTAGAGTAAGTAAGGATGCCTTTTTACCCGATAGGTCAGTACCCGCATACTGTAAGTCATAGCATTCATCATATGCTTCTGACAGTTCAGAACAGTGAACACTGGCATGTAGATATCTGTCATCGGTCTGTGATACCTCAACTACAACCGTGTCAGATTGTCTGTGCCAGATCAACCTAACACAGAAACAGATGAGGTTTTTTTTCAGTAGAGCGAACGGATGGTTGAAAAGATAGTGCAGAACTTATCATGCGCAAACTTAACCACATGCTTGTTCTTGGTTTGGGAGAAGTAAATACAGAAGAATCTCCCAGTTTTGAATGTTATGTTCAAGTTATCAGTCCCGTCACCATGCAAGAAAAGATCCATCGGCTTACGTTTCAAAACAGAAGAGTCCAGTAACTCTTGAACAGTGTCGTCAGAAATGCATTCCAGTATACGCGAGACGATCGGTGCAGATAATTCCATGGCAGTATACACAAAGCGCTGGTCTCCTTCGGTCGAAAACGTCTTGCAGAAGGTAATGGCTTTGGACTTCTTATGGAATCCCATGTACGAGTCACGCTTGTTCTCGTACCACATGGTTGTGGCATCCTCCAGATACAAATCCATCACGCCGGCTGCGGGTCCTGTGTACATATAATGAATTACAAGTGTGATATCCTGAGTGTCGCACAGCATTTAACTTCCATAGACATCTGAACTATAGTCTGCTCAAGCAGTGTCTTCCTTACCGGCTTCTTGAAACCGTACGGAACTGTGGTGAAATCTTCCAACAAAACCCGTTTGTCGTACACCATGCGCAGATGCTTCTTCAAGCGGACAGTGGAAATCTCTTGAGCTTTAAAGTTCCGCTTAATGTACTCAGGGTACACAACCTGTGTTAAACCACTGGAATCAATAAGAAACTAAAAGAAATTTAATAACATAACTGATACGTACCGGCATTGTAGCGCCTTTCAGGATTTCGGTCAACTTGTCAAAGTCAAGGTTCTCTCCAGTGCGCTGCAGATCATCGTTCAAGACATCTTCCGTGTACCCGTTCTGAGTCATGCCTTTAACTTTCAGCTGAATCCGGCCGGTGTTTGTTTCATAACTGTAGACTTTGGGACCACAGGAGACAAAGCGTACAATATATTCATCTGGTTTCAACTCGCTGCTCCATTGACCAAGTCCATTACCGACTTCTGGAAGCCATTTGCCTTCTTTGTGAACAAAGATGACAGAGTCTGTGTCAAAATACAAAAGGCGCGGTCCAAGCTTGGCCATGGTTCTGAAAAGCTGAATGCGGGCATGGCTGGCAGTGAAAGCGGCAATGGCAAGATTCGCACAGTTACTGCCTTCGTTGTAGTCATCTTTCTGCGAGTAAGTAACCATCATGCACTCTGGAGTCACGGCGTGAGCGCTCTGTATATCAACAGATTTGGATCTGACTAAATCCAGATACTGCTTCACGGAGTAGATGAACACCGTCTGCTGTAAGTTGTCTCTTTGGCCAAACTTGCCCCAAAATGAATTTAACATCAACTTGGCAACTGCACGTCTTGCGGGATTATCTTCAATGCGATCAATGTCTAGCAGAATTCCATCGCGCAAGGCAACTTCTTGAACATACAACTCTTTTTGACGTTGCGTTGTACAGCCGGCGGGGAATCCACTTGCTTCCAACTTCTCCTTCAAGAATTTGTCCACATATTCTTGAAATAGACCCGCACGCTTTTCGTTCCAATGCCAAACTTCGTAAATTTCCTGCACTTGATAACCCTGTCGCAGCGCCATGTGCAATTCCGAAGTGCAAAATACTCCTTCAAAACTTCTTTCCTCATCGGAATGCGAACAGTAGTCGTTTATTCCGTTTTCAGCACAAGTCCGGCACAAAGTGAACACAAGCTTACCGTTGAAGGTGGCAGGCAACACAGGATATCGAATTCTTGCAGGTGGAAGAACTTTGCATTTGACCAAGCCAAAATATTCCGTCACAGGTTTGAAGTTGGACACGATGATCTTCGGATGTCCAATTGGATACTCAGCTTTCTTGTTGACGAACGGGTACAAGGACACGATGTCGTAATGCAAAATCTGCTCATCATCTTGGACTTCTCTGAACAAACACGAAGCGTTGGTACGGCCACCTTTGAATGCATCGCGCGGTTGCAATGGATCACGTAGATTCTGGTTTAGGAGGAATTGCTGTATATCCGGATCCTTTCTTTCACGTAACCACTCGCAAGACCACTTCTCTTCCACATTATAACCCATTCCTTCCAAAAAGAGTTTCTTACGTATCCACTGCTCGTACACTTCTGACATTTTCTTCAAAGAGAACGGTGCCCGGTCATCTTCATTGGTGCATTCCGGGTGCCCATGATGTACGCAGCCGTTATACTCGTACACTGTCTGTGTCCGGATCGAATCCATCTACGAAGTAGCGATTGATTTTCCGCTCTTTACCATTCCTACCGTGCTCGATGTTTGGATGACTCATGCTGGTCCATTCAAGCCACTGCGTTGCTTCGGCGCTTGTCTTTCGATTCGGCTGATAACCGTTTGCAGATATCACGGCAATTTCTTTAGCCTTCCGCAGTTTGGTCTTGTAATACGTTTGACAGGCGGAAGCTATGGTAACGTTTTGAAACGGGTCGACGTTGGTCATCTTGATGAAATTTTCACGGAACTGGAGAGCACATTTCCGCAGTAAAGTAACGTCCCTTGCACAGTAGTCGGACATTTCCAGTCGAAAATCGAAAACCCCTTTAAAACATGAGATATTAAAAAAAAAAACCTACCTTTCTTTTCCTTCTCTTCTGCATGCCACTGTTCAAACTTTCTGCGATCCGCTCGCTTCAAGCCGCCTACCATGTAATCATCGACAGCGGGAAACGGAAGCACTTTGTCCCAGTTTCCCGGCTTGTTAAAGCGATGAGGAAAATCGCCTTTGGATTCGCAATCGGTCAGACCAACAGCCTTCGGAAAATTGGATAATTTCGTCATGACAAAGTTAAGAGTGTCGCGCGCCCTGATTTTCAAAGCCGGGTAACGGAGATCAAGAAGCTGACTCCCGCGTCGTATGACTTCAACTCCTTTGAGGTTGTTTTCCAAAAGGTAAAAAAGTAAAAAGTGTCCGTCGTAACCGCGAAAGTTGTGCGCAATCAAGGTGTATCCACGATGTTGCTCTGAATAAACCCATTGGTCAAACTCTTTCTGAACGTCGTAACCTTCCATTGGCACATTATCTGGAGGGAAGCGAAACTCTTCTCCACTTGTGTATTGTGCCACGACGTAACAAGGCCGATGGACCCCCTCCGCGTCCAAGTGAGTTTCATAATCGAAAAAGATGTAATTTGAACTCGATCCATGGGTACGAGGCTCCAACGGTTTAAGATAGCACTTGTGCGTGGCTTGATCTACCCACTCCTGGCATGGATGGCAAAACATCTCACCACATTCGTGCTTCTTGAATTTCCGATTGAGTAGACTTACAAAAACTCCACAATCTGGGCAAATGAACAATTCCGTACAGTATGGCCGACCGTTTTTGCGTGCTTTCTTATGTAGATCATAGCACTTGTTGTTATTGAATTCACGATTGCAATCCGTGCACAAGATTCTGCTAGTTTCTTCAGGCTCGACGCATACCTCTCTTGGGCGATAACATTTGGTGCATTTACCTTGGCATCGATGCTTTTCTTTCTGAACATATGCCTTGTCACACAACTCACAATAATACCCACGTCGATGAAACCTGGATGGACTGGTTATCAGATCGAAATGGCCATTTTCGTACAGAAGATAGATGGTTTTCAGCTTCCCTTGCCTTTCGGGACACCTGGCAATTATGATGTTCCCCTGCTCGGCTCCAACAACTTTGATCTGGAACCCCTTAAGGACAGTTGTTTGGAAACGTTCAATGTCGTTTAAGGAAAACTTTGTTCCGACAGTAAGTCCCGCTTCTTCCACTAGTTCCGCTGCGAGTTCTTGCAGTTTCTTATCTCTTTTATCAGTCAGTTGCTTCCAGTTTCGTATATTTTTTGAAGGATCGTGAAAAAACCGTCCGAGCACAAGGCATGCAGGCAAACACAAATTATAGCCGACATCAACCTGCACAATGGAGCGCGCAAACCGTTTCCTATCGTGTGTCGAGTGAATATGCTTACGCACAGCAGCACCTCCGGCGGGGATGACCGTACGTTGAATAACAAGCCTCAGAGAATCATCAATGCAGAAAAGTCCACCCGAGTTGATCTTCATTACCATCTCTGTCAGGTCGCGCGGGTTAAAGTTGCTGAAGAATTGCATTTTCAGGTGCATTGGATTCTCCATAGTCCGGGTAAACAATGTTAAGCAAACAGCATCGTCCGGCAGCAAATCTTTTGAGCAAGCTTTCCAGACTGCCTTAAACACTTCAGGCAGCGCTTCTGGGGAAGTTACTGTATCAAATTCTTGCGGCAGTGACTTGATCTTCAAACTGTAGAAATACTGATGGTGATTGAACTTCTTGTTGTGGTTGTGACTTATCTTCTGGAGGGTAAAAACTTTAGACCAGTCCGATTCCGAAGGTATGGATTGACCTGATTCAGTAACGTCAACAGAAGGATCTTCCTGAACGGGTCGACTGAGTGATTCCTGGGACGGAACATGATTTGCCACGATAGCTTCTTCCATATCGTCGTCGTTATCCTGCGTATCGACGTCCATCGATTCCGCACCACCTGACTGAATATTTTCGCCTGCATCCAAAACGTCTTCCACACAAACCTCCATACGTTCAAGCGCTTCATCGGATTGTGTGGCTGGCGATTGAGGTGGTGTGTAGACTTGCGACCAGTTGAATGGACTACCAGGCGGTGAATAAGGATTGTAGAATTCATCGAAATTATATCCGTAGTCGTCAAAGTCGTTGTCGTTATCCATGAGATCATGATCCATGGCAGCAATGTAGTTAGTATCCACTTGATTCAATGTTGAAGGCTCAGAACTACAAAAGAAGCCCTTGATTAGCTAGAGTACTGCTTACACGTAGAATTCTGTGCCATACCTAATATCTGTGACCAAATTTAGAATGTAGTGGCAGCCAATTTGCTTCTGGATCTTGTTACGCAGGGCATTGCTCTTTTCCAACGTTGTATGACGGGAGTAAATCATTTGCCAACCAAACAGCTGGATTTCGACAGCTGTGTCACGCATGGCAAATCGTATATCTTGGCCAGAAACAACCTGTACAGAAATCATAATACAAAAATGAATAAAGAAAGAAAATATCAATGCTTATCTTTTCCAAAGTGGTGTTGATAAAATAACGAGACAAGTGCGTGCATGCTTCACTGAACAATGTTGCACCATGTTGTACGCTGTCCGGCAGCAGGTGCTGAAAGTCTTTAGGTATCTCCGGCCATTGTTGATGGAAAAAGTTGTACAAATCAGGGTACGGCTTAGACTCATCCAGAACAGCTTCGATGAAGGCGCGGCCAATGAATTTGGACGAGCACTTCTTGCCACTTGGATTGAAGAACATGATTTTTATTTCTGAGCCTACGAAAGACATGACATGACATGACATCGTTACAACCGTAACACGAATCCCTACCGTTATTGATTAGCACCATCACGGACACATGAAAAATGAGATCTTTGTGCATTTGCTTGTTTGTTGTTGACACAGGAATCAAGAAGCTGCCTCTCGTTGCAAGCATCTGAAGAAGACTCTTCAAGTTGACACAATTCAGCGATGCAGCAAGATTGCTGAGCGACCAAGAGTCGGTAAAATCCCGGTCCGTTACATAACGATTGTATTGGTCAGCATGGAATGTTCTCGCCACGCGAACACCTGAACCATGAGCCAAAGCACTGGTAACTTTATCCAACTGCTTAACAAACCGCTTTCCAGGATAGTGCAGCGTTTCTAGCGCATCCACAGCCCGTTTAGCCGCAGAACATTCTTTCTTTGCGAATTCTTTAAAACTCTTGGAAAGATACGAGCAGTGTTGCAAGATATGTGCGCTTAAAGGCTTGACAACCATCGTTCCGCATCTTGGACATTGTCCGCTAAATGAAGCAGACGATCTTGGTGTTGAAAGGACAGGTGACTTTTCTTTATCCATTAAGATTGTTCTGCGACTCCGGTTTCGTACCGGAACTTCCTTGCATCGTCCCATAGCGGCCTTCAGTCAAAGAACACAATGTAAAAAAAAGAAAAAAAAAGGCGCGCCCGATGAAGTTGAACCATGTCTTATCATCTAAAAAGTTGTGCTCAATGAAGCTGTACCATCTGTTATCACTTTCCGAAAAAAAAAAGTTGCGCCCGATGAAGTTGAACCATGTGTTATCATCTAAAAAGTTGTGCTCAATGAAGTTGTACCATCTGATATCACTTTCCGCAAAAAAAAAAAAGTTGCGCCCGATGAAGTTGAACCATGTGTTATCATCTAAAAAGTTGCGATTGCACAATCAGCAGCGACTCGGTTTTCACGTCAAACATGTAGGAAAGTTGAGAATCTCGTGTCGAACATGAAAAAAGCTTGAAAATATCGTGTCACGTGTTTAGAAAATCTCGGAATATCAAGCAACAGTTAAGAGACAGACAGGTGGAATGTTATGCAGCATGTGGTAAGGATTATAGAAATGCACCTGGCGTGGCGCCAAGCAAGACGGTAAGACAATAACAATCTTGAAAATGTCGCGTCAAGCATAAAAGCAACATGAGAATGTCGAGTCATACTTGCAAGAAAGACAGTAATTAGGCAGCTGGAATCTTGAGAATGCACCTGGCGTGGCGCCAAGCAAGACGGTAAGACAATAAGATTCTTGAAAATGTTGACTCAAGCATGAAGGAAACTTGAGAATGTCGCGTCAGAATTGCAAGAAAGACAGTAATTAGGCAGCTGGAATGTTGAAATTGTCATACAGAGCACGTGGGAAAGTAAAGAAGCGAAAGTCAGAATGCACCTGGTGCGGCGCCATGCACTTTGTAGGACAATAAGAATCTTGAGATTGTCGCGTCAAAGTTGAAGGATAGAAAGAAATTAGACAGGGGGGATCTTATGAAACAACTTGTGCACGGTGCCAAGAAGGTATAACTTTGTGTAACTAAATGTATGCAGGGATGAAAACTATGAGAAAGTGCGGAAAAGAGTAATTAACACATACACATTTACTTACCTTTTGGAATTCCTCCGAAATGCGGACACTTCTCCACTCCGCTTGCGCTAACACGTGCTGTTCCGTGCCAGTCAATCAGTACAAGATGAGAAAAATTCCACAATCAGTACAGATCCGAGTGCAAAAATAACAAAACGTGGACATCAACGTGGCAGGATGCAATGGCAACTCGACTGGCTGGTGTGGCACTAGCACGATGTTGCATTGTTCTGGGCTTCTTTCCGGGACGGGGGAGAGCTGCTTCGCCAGTAACAAGATTGCATTCAAAATTTGCGCTCCCCGGATTTCGGCTTGGCTGCTTACGAACGGCGGCTGTGCAGGGGAATCTCCGCCCTTACCAGTACAATGCATATTGTCACTATAGGACTCCAAGTAATCGCTGCGATTTCCGTTTCTCGATGTTGCTTTAACGAAGAAGGCTCCACACGGGAATTTTGTGATTCGGGCCTACAACAAGTACAATATACTTCATAGTGTTAAGTATAGTATAGAAGTAAAGGATAGCCGTTGCATTGCTGACGCCATCAAAACAATAAGAGAATCATGTACTGCTACCCTCTGGTATAACTTGAAACTATTCATTTGGGAAAATTAGCCCACCGTAGAGTCAGGAGTTACAGGCAGTGTACAAGTACTCTGTAGTTTAATACGTTATCCATAAAAAAAAACACCCCACTACCAGTTAAACTACGTATCACGTACAATTGCACATTCACAGATACCTATACGGTACTGCATTTACATATGTGCGCATCACCGCGGTAAATTTGCTTAACAAATTAAGATTAGGTTTATTGGAAAGGAAAAAAATTTTATTATGCGGATTAAATTGCATGATATCTATGCTATTATTATAAGGAAGACAGTTTGAAGAATATGTATGTACTTACGCATCTCTTTCGTGCGTAGTGTTATGTTATGACTTGCTGCGGTTACCGGTATACCACAAGTTATTTTATCACAGACATTATGAAAGATATTATAGAGATTTTATTTGAGTTGCGTTTGAGTTACTTATGTTTTCTGATAGAAAGTAACCGGTTAATTACGCTTCAGGCTTGCGTTCTAACTCGTTATCTCGACAATATTAATAACTCGTGTCAAGTTGAACAGTTGAAAATAACAGCGTAGGTCTTGTTCGTATTATCACACTGCAGCGCGCATGTTTTAAAATCGCGTTTTACTGGACAGGGGACACCATAAAATCCTCTTATTCGCTGCATCTTACGAGAAGCGCCTCGGTTTAATCACCGTAAAAGGTACTAATTACAGGTACAATGTACTGTACGTGCACCAAAACTTGAAAAGCATTGTTTTATGACATTCTGCAGTTGCCAAATGTTTGGTAGACGATGGCGTGACAATAGTTTGTACGCGCAACATCCGGTTGGGGAGTTATTGCTGTAAAAATATTCGAAAAAGTTTAGAAGCATTAATTTGTGCGCTGTAATAAAGGTCTCACCGCGTAACGCTCTTTTTTCAGATATTACACATAAACGTAGATTAGTACGAAGATTTTTATGCACCGAACCAGAGTTGTAGCATTTTTTTTAACTTAACAAAGATCTTACAAAGTATACAATTAACAAAGCCATCGGATTCCGTTTATGCGTTCATTTATTATTACCATTACAAAGACAAGAGATACTTTCACGATGCTTAGATTTACAGAAATAATCCAAATCAAGGATACTGAAAACAATTTTATCACATAGTAATAAATAGCAAACATAATAATAAACATAGATATATTAATATGATGTATTGATCAATTGCAGGTGATAATAAACGATGTACTACATAATGTTCGTAAACACGAAGCCTATGCAAACCGATATTTTAGAGTTTCAGTTATCCTTAAATTATTTAGTAACTGCTTATGCAGAGAAACCATGATTTGCATGCACAGATCTTTACTACCTGTTGACTTCGTCCGTTTTTTTGCAGCGCGTTCAAAATTAAACGAGCATGAAGAGCAAGCGGTTACACGGAATCACATAATTCCATAAACAAAATCCCATGAAAAGTAAACTGAGACACAATAAACGAATGAACATTAACGCAGTCCGTTTAATACGCTACGTATGTTAAACGTAACATTAGTACTGCTGTCTCTACTCTTCTGGCAGTCTGCACCGTTACTGTGTGAAGAACTTCGTACTTACGGAAGTTACAGCACAAAAAGTGGGAATTCGACCGCGGTTCAAAAATACAGTACTGGTACTAAACAAACAGTCTGCAACGGTTGCACCTGCATGGCACATCATTGATGATCTTTGTAGGTTTGAATACAGCAGTGTCTGCTTGCAAAGACCTGCATAGGTAATTCCATCGTACTGTTATCACACATTCAATCGTAAATTCGCACTTGATAAAGCGATACCATTATTACGGATCAATATTCTACAATATTACTAGACGCACCCGGTCGATCAAGGTGCACCACGTAACAAGTTGAAAGGGCGGCGCTTCCGAAAATAACCGGCACCGTACTGCACGAGACATTTCAAAACATGCCGAACCCGTGTAAGCGGGAAAAATCAACTGTCTGTATATACTATGGCAGCTGTTTTGAAGATACAGATACACCAACAGATACACCAACACCGGACGAGACACAGATACACCCGACGATAGAAACTGTGCGCTTTTTACCTGGTTACTTTAAAAACGAAATTGAGTCGAAAACTGTGTTAACAGAATCCTTTCAAATTTTAAGGTCCATTTCAAATCCATTGGCTGCAGCGCAAGAGGCAGCTCCTATTCTGAAACTGTACGGAGTATAAAGGTGACTATTGGGAATTCCGTGCATTGCCAAAGTTAACACGCGAGCAAAAGCAGATCTCGTAACAGGTGAACCGTTGGAGGTGACAAACAGGGCTTTGTGCAAAATTCTTAGGCTTCTCCGCAGTCTTAAGTAATTTTGCATCGCCCGTACAGGACAGACTGACCGATTAGTAGCCGACAAATAAATCCGACATCCGTCACGAAACTGATCAGATTTAGATGACCGAAGATTAATAATGAGCTTCGATTTCTGATATGATATGTCCGCTAAACGTAGTGAATGACCACCAAGTGACGGTACAACCTCACCAATGCGTAAAAACCCGAAAAAACACAAGGTATACATACACCAGTATAATTGTTTTTCAAATGATGATAAAATAGCTGACCGATCAATATTGAGCTTGATGATGCGCATGTGATCGATGGTGATTGGCAATCTGCTATCAACATTAGTGCCTCGTAAGCGCTTAAAACCGGTGAGGCATTGTGAAATATTCGGTGTACTGAAGTCAATAGGTGTACCATTTTCTTTCAGTGAGTTGTGAAGAGCGGATAAATAAACTTTAAC